TCGAAGACCTCAAATTTTATTCTTTTTATTTATTTTAATTTTGGTTTCATGGTTTTTCAGTTGGCAATTTGTGTCAGCTAGAAAGTAATAAAAATAAAACAAAATATTTCGTCTGAAAATTACAAAAGTAATTCTTTGTGGTAGAATCCCTTTCATTTAAAAACAACGTTTAAATTTACGAAAGGTAAAGTTTTTATTAAAATCTACACGCTTTTCGGTGTTAGCGAAGAAGTTTCAATCGTAAATCCAAATTATTGTTTTCTTTTTTAGGTATCAGGGTCGGTTTTAAGGTGAAAGTCAACTTAGAAAGTGATAAGTTAATGAATGCGTAATTTTGTGGAAGAATTTCGAAGACCTCAAACTTTATTCTTTTTATTTATTTTAATTTTGGTTTCATGGTTTTTCAGTTGGCAATTTGTGTCAGCTAAAAAGTAATAAAAATAAAACAAAATATTTCGTGCGAAAATTACAAAAGTAATTCTTTGTGGTAGAATCCATTTCATTTAAAAACAACGTTTAAATTTACGAAAGGTAAAGTTTTTATTAAAATCTACATGCTTTTCGGTGTTAGCGCAGAAGTTTCAATCGTAAATCCAAATTATTGTTTTCTTTTTTAGGTATCAGGGTCGATTTTAAGGTGAAAATCAACTTAGAAAGTGATAAGTTAATGAATGCGTAATTTTGTGGAAGAATTTCGAAGACCTCAAATTTTATTCTTTTTATTTATTTTAATTTTGGTTTCATGGTTTTTCAGTTGGCAATTTGTGTCAGCTAAAAAGTAATAAAAATAAAACAAAATATTTCGTGTGAAAATTACAAAAGTAATTTTTTGTGGTAGAATCCCTTTCATTTAAAAACAACGTTTAAATTTACTAATGTTAAAGTTTTTAATAAAATCTACACGCGTTTCGGTGTTAGCGCAGAAGTTTCAATCGTAAATCCAAATTATCGTTTTCTTTTTTAGGTATCAGGGTCCGGTTTTAATGCGGAAATCAACTTAGAAAGTGACAAGTTAATGAATACGTAATTTTGTGGTAGAATTTAAAAGATCTCAAATGTTACTTATTTTATTTTATTAATTAACTTCAATTTTGTTTTCAGGGTTTTTCAGTTGGCAATTTGAATCCACTAAAAAGTAATAAAATACGAAAAATTTGGTAAATCTTTGCTATAATATTAAATTCTATAAAACGCGCCGTTTAAACTCGCAAATAGCAAAATTTTTATCAAATTCTATAGGCGTTTCGGTGTCAGTCAAGAGGTTTCAATTGTAAATCTAAATTTTATTTTCACCTTATTTAAATAAATTTAATTAAGGTGAAAATCAACTTAGAAAATGACAAATTTAACTTTACGATGGAATTTAGAAGACCTAATTTTAATATTCTTATTTTATTTATTTATTTTAATTTAGCTTTCATTATTCGCAGTAGACAATTTGAGTTAGTATATAGAAATATTTGGTTTAAATTACAAGTGTAATTCCTTGTGTTTTACTTTTCATTTAAAACAATTTTTAAAACCACAAATGGTAAAATTCTTATTAAAATCTTTGCGCGTTTTGGGGTCACAATGATCAACCACCTCAAATTTGATTTTTCTTTATTTTATTTATTTATTTAAATTTTGGTTTCATGGTTCGCAGTAGACAATTTTAACCAGCTAAATAGTAATAAAATCAAACAAAATATTTGGTGTAAAATTACATGAGTAATTCCTTGGGGTAATATTAATTTTAATTTAGAACAACGTATAAGACCACAAATGGTAAAATTATTATTAAAATCTATGCGCATTTGAGTGTCGCAATGACAAACCTTCACCACAAATTTGATTTTTTATTTAATTTTATTTATTTATTTTAATTTTGGTTTCATAGTTCACAGTTGGCAATTTGATTTTGCTAAAAAGTACTTAAACGAAATATTTGGTCTAAAATTACTACAGTAATTTTTTGTGATAACATTAAATTTCCTGAAAAAACAACGATCAAAACTGCAAATAGAAATTTTTTATGAAAACCTACACCCGTTTCGATGATGTCACAATGGCACATTTGCATCAGTAGATAAATGGAAGGGGTGGTGAAACACAAATGACGTTAGAGCTGCACAATGGGCTATTGGCGACGGTAAGGGAAACATCCCTGAGGATAATCCATAGACATGCCCTCACAATTTTAATCCTCGGCAGAGGGGATGGTACCCCCACTTCGGTAGCCCAACGATCTGTACACGATCTGTATCTAAATTAATATAAAATACGAAAGTATGGAAAATATGTTAAATAAAAATTTTTTGTCAAAGGGCTCATAATCTTAGTTTTATAATTTTATTTAGTTTAAATATGAAAATCATCATAAAAAGTAAATTTTTTCATCTCTTTTTTTAAGAAAAAATTTTCAAGCCTCATTAGAATTTTCCCGGCTCATGTAATTTAAAACGAACTAGCAATATTAACATTATGATAGTAGCGACAGTAAACTAATACAATTGATGTTATATTAATTACTCGATGAAATGTTACAAGAAATGTTTAAAATCACTTATTATTTTATGTAAAATATTTTTGCTCCTTCAATTTCATTTCAAGAAATCCATTTGAACATTTTTACTTTTTCCTGACATTGAAAGAAAATGAAAAAAAATTTAAACTGAGTTTTTCAAGTAAATTTAAAAGGAGAAATCGGTATTTTCACTTAAAATGAAAAATGTTTGGTATATCAGTTTTATTATAAACTTCTATTAGTACAAAAAATCCTCTCCCTAAAGCTTTCGAAAATAATGCATCTAAAGTTTTATATTTCAGATTTAGCTAAAAGGAAATTTTTTTTTCTGATTTGTAAGACAAATAAAAATGTAAATTTTTTTTTCTCTCACACATTTCGTATTGGGGGATTTTAATCTTAAATCTAATTTTTTCCCTCGAGTAAAAGTTTCAAGAAAACAGAAATGAGAAACGTGTTAAATGCGTAAATCATTTCTCATTGTGCACGAAATTATTATGATTGATTCATTTTGCACTTAGTAATTATTATAAAACTAGACCGAGAGAGAGACACGTGAATTTTTTTTTAAATCATTCACATTTGTTAAATAATGTAAACCAAGTTTAAAATATAAAATATATTGTGAATTACTTCACATCTGGTTTGACGTGATTGGTACTGAAGTGAATTTTAATAATTGCACAAACTTAAATCTATACCGTAAGTAAGAATTTTTTTTTATCAAAAGCTAGTTGTAAGAAATCAACCTTTTTAAGACTGGCTCTTGTCTGTATGATTAAATTCACATTTAATAATTATTGTAGAACTACACAGAGATGTAAAACCTTGTAAATAATTTCAGACCAAATTTGAAAAAATTCTGAAAGATTAATTTCACTAACTTTCTAACGATTAATTTCTAACTTTTGACAAAGTTTTGGTCTTACTTATGATATAGATTTAAATCTGTATAGTTATCCAGTATTGAGTAATTTATAGCACATCTTCTTAGGACTCAGAACGATTACTCTAAGAGTTAAGGACACAATTTGTTAACTTGATCAGCGATGAGATATTACTGGCTCAATTTGCTATGATTCAGTACAGTACGTTACGAATTATTTATGACTCAATATGATTAATTTTTCTGGAATGACTCAATTTTGTTAAGATTTAGTTTGGTTAGCTATGACTCAATTATAAAAAGTGTGTTGTTCGATGACTACACTTAAGATATATTTCTGCAGGTTGAAAATTAATAATTTAATGGAAAAAATATAAATCGCTAACAAAAGTCATCATAATACAGANATTGATTTGTTATGGGAACATGGAGGACTTTGAGACTCGACAGATTTAACGTGCATCACCATTTACTACACGGGGAGTCTTCGGTCGGCGAGGATCGAACCCACGTCCTCTTGGACTTGGGCCCAGCGCCCTACCGACCAGGCTATCCCGGCCACTATGACTCAATTTCAATNTTTTTTTTTTTTTTTTTTTTTTTTTTTTTTTTTTTTTTTTTTTGCTATGACTCAATTATAAAAAGTGTGTTGTTCGATGACTACACTTAAGATATATATTTTTGCAGGTTGAAAATTAATAATTTAATGGAAAAAATATAAATCGCTAACAAAAGTCATCATAATACAGAACTCATAATACAGAAGGATAATGAAAACAGCAAAACCAATTGAATGCCGGAGGAAATAAAGAAAAATTGAACCAAGAATTTAAAAAAAAAAAAGACGTTTTCTTAGGTAATCAAACTGGTTTTGGTGATTGTTTCAATTTTCTTCTTATGCAGTTTATACCGTATACAATTTATCGTACATTATTTTTAATGTACAAAATAAAATTGAAATCATCTTATTAAAGTATGCATGATAAAAATACTTTAATTCATTCGGTTTTCCAAAGACTGACTTAAAGTAAAATTTCATTTTGATATTTCGGTATCTTAAAATTACAGCTGGAAAAAAAAAATTTAAAAAATCAAAATGTACGAAACATTTTTTCTAAAAATTAAGTCATTCGAATTTCAAGTAACAAGTTAGTGAAATATCTCATTTTTTATTCCCTCCAAAATTGAAAAATGTATACATATTTGTTTGTTCCATGTATAATATCAATTTTATTAAAAAAAAAGTAGAGCTTTCAATTTAGAATACTTTCAAAATTATTCGTTCAAAAAAATAAAACTATTTCAAAGAATATGGTTCACTAAAAAAATTTTTTTATTTAGAAATAAAACGATTTAAGTGACGAAAGTATTTCTTATTCAATATGCTGTGTTATGTCCAGAAAATAAAAAAATTTCAATAAAGAATATCTGATTAATTTAAAAATAACTGTACGTAAATCAAACTTTTTCAATTCAGAATATATACATAATGTTTGTTTAAAATATAAAATTATTTCAATGAAGACTATCATATTTTAAACTTCAAACAATTGATTAAGTCAGGTGTGATTTTTATTTCACTCAGATGCAAGAAATAATGAACAAATGTATGTTTTAAAAACATTTTATTCAACTGATCGACAGTCATATAATCTTTTTGCAAATCAAATGCGTATCACTGCATATAAATCTGCTATGCAGATATTATGGATATTATTTGAAATATAAATAAATACATTTTTTTAAACAGTGAAATTATATTACAATATGATAATATGGCATCTTTATACAATAAAACAAATTTACACAAGATTTTGAAAATGAGTTAAAATACACATTTATAAGTGAGAATGTGACAGCTGCGCCAAATGGTTATGAAAATTAAAAATTGGTTGACAGAATAGTATTATAAATCAAATAAATACATGTTTTCATAAATTCAAATAGCCAGTTATTTTTTAAAAAATACAAGCGCAAAAGTAGTTATCCTTTCATTAAGCGTATGCTAGTCGTTTTACTGTAAAACTAACATTTTCAAATTAAAAACATGCTACCACTTTTTACATTCCGGGGACATGAAGAGAAATTAATAAACTGAAAGAAAATATATAGCACATATAGCAATTTTTTCTTTTTTAGAGTTTGAAGCAATAAAAATATTAATAATGACAATAAAATTGTCAAAATTTTATGTAGCAATTTTTGAATTATTTGTTTAGCAGACTCTTGAAATAATTCAACTTAAAACTGTAACATTAAAAAAAAAAAAAGAGCTAATATATAAAGATAAATAAATTTCATAATTTACATTAGTTGCATTCTTTTTATTCTTATTTCTTCTAAACTTTTTGTATAGCTACAGCCTAAAAAATTCATAGTTAACTGTAACTTCACTTTTATTAATTCATATTAAAAAAAGGAAAATCCATTCAATAATTGTACAATTATAATAGTTGTACAATTATTGAATATATAATCATTTTTTACAGTTTATTCACTACTTTTGCAATTTTTTGCTTAATTAAGTTTGAAATAAATAATAGATTTGACTTTCTTGGAAGAAGTGTAACTAACTGTTTAGAAACAATAAAGATTTATATAGTTAAAACAGTTTTGCATAAATTCATTTTTCTTTGTGTTCAAACTAAGTGAATCATTGCGACAATTCCAATACGGTGCATGCTTGATAAAACTGATTTTTTTAAACGATCGACAAAAAAAAAAAATAAATAAATAAATAAATCTTAAAATGATCAATACAACTACTTTTGTAGTTGTATCTGAAACGGTCTTTGCACTGGTGAAAGAAATCTTGGATCAATACAATTACAAGTGTAAAGATTTTTTTGTGCTGTCAAAATTAATCCGGGATCAATAGAGTTATAAGTGTAAAGATTTTTCGTGCTAATAAAAGAAATCTTGGATCAATACAACTATAAGTGTAAAGATTTTTCGCGCTGTCAAAAGAAATATTGGATCAATACAACTACAAGTGTAAAGATTTTTGTGCTGTCAAAAGAAATCTTGAATCAATACAACTATAAGTGTAAAGATTTTTTGGGGTCTTAAAACAACTATTCACAATATCAATGCTGCTTCTATAAATTAAAAAAAAAAAAAAAATTTAAAAAATTTGATGGCGAAACAATACTTGGAAAGGTCAATACAAGCGCAAATATTTTTTTTATCCTTCGCTGGCTCTGTATATTTATGCCTTACGTTACGAAAAAACAAAAATTAGGCATTGAATTACAAATTGTTGAGCAGCTACGGTCGCTCCATTGTAATACAAAAATTAAACTTAAAAGACAAAAGAAAATTTAATCATTACTCTATAAACTGAAACGCCACAAAATAAAGGGAGACGAAAAGAGACGAAGCACACAAAAAAATTGGAAATACAAAGCACCAAAACCGAAGCGAAATTGTATAGGAAGCGTAACAAAAGAATTTTTAAAACAATAAAAACTATACCTAACACCATAATGGATAAATAAAAACGATGCATCTAATTGAAAGAAAAACACAAAGAGAATATAATAATTTGCAATTTTATAATGAAAATGCATAAATCAAAATGGAAAGAAAGAAAACAGAAAATGTGCATGCCTAATTTGAAAAGAATTATTAAATAACAGGTAGTGCGCACAATTGAAAACTTTTGCAGCGAAAAGGTAAGTAGTTATTGCAAGAATATCTGGATTAATTGACAATTCTACTGTCTCGTTTCTTGCCCATGGATGTGAAATAGCTACGTATTAGCGAGTAGTATTGGATTATTAAATTCACTGTTCGATATTAAATTAGTTATTAACTGAGATCACAGAAAAAAACTTATTTCTTCGATGAAAAAAAATTGACTATTTTAGAGAGAAAATTAATACTTTTAGAAAAGTTATAACTTACACTAATCCTTTAATCGTCTAACCCTTTAAAATCAAATCATGAATTATTAGGTCTGTTAATAAGTTTAGCTGTAAAATATAATTAAAAACTATATGAGTTAAAATTGAAAAGAATGCAAGCTAATTCTTTTGAAATTGCATAAAAGTACATTGTAATAATATAAGTAATTCTTCATAATCTGTTTTAAGAATTTAAAATTAAAATGAATGTGCCTTCAAAAACAATGTATATTTTCATGTAAATATTATTATTATTTTTTTTTTAAATTTTATGCTGCGTAACAAAAACACTCATAAAAAAAATTTAATATTAGAAATCATTTTAAGTATATTCATTTTTCAGCATTCTAAGCGATGCTATAATTTTCTATTTTTTACATAAACGCGCGCCATAAATGAAATGTACAGAAATTGTACACTTTAATGTACATCAAAATGTACACTTTAATGTACATATGCAACTTCATCAAAAGAAATTTTAAAAAAAAAGTGCAAAATGGTTTTTCATTTTCTGTAACTGTCCATAGAAAGTGAATAACCTGGCGTGCAGGCATTCTTTTACTCTTGTCTTATCACTGAGGCAGCTCCTATTTTTAACTTCAATCCTGGATTTTTATCGCCATTTCTATCATTTTTCGCCAAAACCTGCGCCATAGACTAGTAGTCAGCCAAATTCATCAACTCATATTAGAAGCCACCTTTTCTTTCATAGTTGACAAAGAGAAAGTCCAAGAGTTCTATACAAATATGTACAAGTTCTGGAACGTTTGAGAAAGTCCAAGAGTTATTTACAAGTTCTGGTCATTTTTCGACGGAGGATCACAATAATAAATTAAATTTTTTTTAAATAGCTATCAATCTATTTTCAGCAAGGGGGTTCCCTAGCGAAATAAGAAGGTAAAGATGACGCTGAAGATGAGGTGGGTGAAGTGGCACTTGCCGCAGCCATTGGTGGCACAGTAGATGAAGAGAAATTGACTGGCAATCCCATGGCTGTCGTTGGAGCAGATGGATACATCCTGTAAGCCATTGGTTTCTGAAGACCAAGTCCTTGTCGGTAATACATGTCCATTCCTGGTAATCCAGCGGTAAAAGGTAAATTAGCGGCATATTGATTCAGCCAGTAAGGAGTAGACTGAAGCATACGCTGAACTGCGGCATAGTTACCGGCTTCGGCTAAAAGTTCTAAACCAACAGCTGTTTGACGCTTCCATTTCGTCCTATTTAAAGAAAGAAAAGAAATAATGTATAAATTATAAAATAAATGTAACAAAAATTGAAGTTCATAAAGTTTCACGATATTATTGTTAATAATTTTATTAATATAGAATAAATTTTTAAAAACACGCTCAGTGTTTTTAAATGAAAAAGCATTCGTTTTAGAATTATCCGTTTTACTGTTTATTTCATACTTTATTTATTATTTCGATTAGAACTTTAAAATATTTTAAGGGATCAATTGAATTATATTTTTGAAATTAAACAATTCTATTTTGTAGATAAAAAGCTTACAGCTAATCGGAAAAAATTACCTAATCAGCTGCAATATAGTTCAGTGTCTGTAAAATCAGACGATCCAATATTTTAACTGTAACTCAGACAACTTATTTAAAATTTGAAAAATTCAGACGATTTGTTTAAAAAAATTATTTTAATAATCTTTAGTGCAAAAATATTTATTTAAATTATTCCAATACAAGTAAAAAAAAAAGTATTTCTCAAATAATTTTTATCGAATATGAACGATATCATAAAAATTATTTCCAGTAAAGCAACTTTTTTGGGAAGAAATATATTCCAAACGATTATACATAAATAAGCCCCTAATGAGTTGGTATCATGATATTAGTTATAAGTTAAATACTATATTTTTGTGAAAACGACTTCTCGGAATCTTTTTTAAATGTTCATTTGTTACTGAATAGAATTACAGGTTTTTAAGCTAAATTATTCTCAAATATTATCATTGGTAAAAAATTTAAAAAAATAGTTTTAAACGTGTTTTTAAAATAAACATATGAGCAAAGTGTTCTAATATTGTTACATTACGAGTTAACATTAATTAAAAATAAAATAAAAGATTAAAATGAAAAAAAAATTCGGTTTTTTTTTTTTTTTTTTTTTTTCTAACTTCGAGAGAAACTATTTTCGTTCTATTATTCGTGTATAATAAATATGTTTAAACTTGGAATATAAGATTTTTTTTTCATATGAAGCTATAAAAATAGGCAATAAATGATCACAAGCTATTTTGATAAACGATATTTTTCACAATGGTTGACTCACAAACTATAGAAATGTAACTCTTTGTTATTTCCGATCGCGTAGAAGTACCCGGTGTCGGAGAACGATTGAATTTAAAGGACAAGAATTATTTATCCTTGCTGCACAATACAGTATAACTGTTTAAAAGTTGAATTGATCCGATACCAAGTAGCATAAAAATAAAATATAAGAAACGCACAATGGCAGCAAAACGGAACCTGATATTCTTTTAGAAGAATCAAAGCGAAATGCCTACAAATTTATTGAACAATGGAGGAAATAAAACTAAAATAACTAAGTCGAAATTGATAAACTCGTAATTTTTGAAAATTCAATCCTTTGTTATAAGAAACTTTTCACAAAACGACGCTATTTTGTTATTCAATATTGATATTTTTAGCTTTAAAAGACAGTTAAGGTTTAAGGATGCTGTTATCTTATGTTAAAATAAAAGCAAATTCTTCAGCAAACGATCCAATAAATAATAAACGATACTTATAATTGTTTTGTTAAATTCTGTTTATATTTTTAAAGTTTATGTTTCTCAATGGTAATATGAAGGTAAATTCTACGTTTAAACTTAGTATGAAAGTATACTGAAGTGAACTTCCGAATTTCTCAAAATCGAACAAACCATTTGTAAATAATTCGTGATTAGAAAAATGCTTTGACCTGCAACATTTTATTAATCAAAAAAAATAATTAAAAAAACTTTGAAGTAAGACAAAGAATACAATTTCTTCAGCAAACGATCAATAACGGACTAAATTCATAATCGTTTTCTAAATTGCTGCTTTAATTTTTTTATGGAATAAAATAAGGCAAATTCAACCAATTTTTTAAGGTAAAAAATTATGACTGCTACACTGTATTCCATAACTGTTTAAAGTTTATTTAATCTTACACCAAAGTTACATTAAATTAAGAACTAAACAATAACAGCAAAACAAAACCTGATAATAGCAAATGTCTATATAGATTATAAGAGTTAAACAATGGAAATAAATTGCAGCAAACCAGAACCAAAATTAAAAGGGAAATTAGCGAATTTCAACATAATTATTTCAATAATTTCATCATGTACAAAGTCGCAAGAGTATTTCTTTAAGGAATTTCAATATTTTATGCAATAAATTTCATTTTAGGTGAAACTATATCTATTAACAAATAATTCTTGCAATAAAAGTCAAAGCAAAAACGACTTCCGGTATAATTATTTTTTAGGTAAGCATGGAATGTTTTTGTGATCTGCATATTTTTGATAACAAAGGGGGAGCGAGAGTCCAAAAATATACTTTTGGAAAGAAAAAAAAAATTTAAAAGTTCCTTAAGAGTTTAATACATTCGATACAAGGTATACATACTACGCAACAATTGAAACAGAGAGATAAAAAAAAAAATTTGAATAAAATTTTCGGAATTAAAATTGTTTTGATTTAATGATGCAAATAAAATTAAATTCAATAATTTTACACTAAAATAAATTCAAACTTAAAACATAAAGATTATGTTACCTTCTATTTTGATACCATGTTTTGACTTGAGTATCTGTGAGATTGAGTTTGGACGCTAGTTCCATTCGGTCCTGGACGCTGAGGTATTTCTGTCGCTCGAAGCTCTTTTCCAGCGTTTGAAGCTGATGGTCAGTAAATGCCGTCCTTGCTTTTCTCTGTTTTTTAACTTTTAGATTGTAAGGTGGACTACTGGATGGGTCATTACTGTTTGTTTCTTCCAGACCAGAATGATCGTCTGCAAAAAAAAGAGAAAAATAAAATTAACTAAGTTTTTTGTTATTAAACCAAATTGCATAGCAACCAAACACAAAAAGAAAAATATCCTATAGATTTCACAATGAATTAATAAATATTTTATGCAATACATAAATATTCCTTATACGAAAAAACAATAGGGTTCCTTTTTTTTTAACTACTGAAAGTAAATGTAATATAAACAAATATATCAAGCTAATATTTACGAATTTAAACTCACTGCAATCTTTAATATTGACGAACTTTATTGAAGTAATCTATTTTTGATAGTCTAAGGTTGTAGTTCTGGACAAAAATAAACTGAAAATTTCTGAATTTTTTTGTTTTTAACTGATTACTATTAAAGAAGCTCGCTACATAATGTATTAGTAATATTTATTTTTATTCAAAAAAATAAATAAATAATAAAATAAAAAGTAAAAGTAGAAATTATTATGTAAAAATTCGATTTCAATAAGTATTTTTTTTCCTTAGGAAATTTACTTATTTTTAAGAAATTATCTAAAAGTGTACAAAATCCGGGAGAATTTTTATTAAACCAGTAGAAACTGTCAAAATCTACGAGTCTACTGGTAAATCCAGTAAAGTTGGCAGCTATATATAAATAATATAAAAGTATCTTTTTTCCTTAAATTGAAATATATTTATTTAATTTTGAAGTGATTAAATATTTAGAAATTTTTTGTCGTCAATAAATATAAATGAAAGATTGCGAACTAAAAGACCGACTAATTTAAAATACACAACAAACCTACAGAATATAATACTTATGCAACTTTAATTAAATAAAACTAGAAATATGTGAACATTTAGCTGCAATTATTATGTCATAGACAAGAAGAAAAAAAATCAGTAATAGTTTTTAACAATAAGCGAAAGCCTACTTGGCGAAATATAGGAGACAGCATTCCTACAAAATAGCCAAAATCATCCCACATTTTCAAATCAAATGAATGAATTAGCTCCCCCTTCCAACTAATTTCCCGAACTTAACAAAACGTTCGCCAAGAAAAAAGAAAGAAGTTTTAAGTGAGGCCCATATTGTGAATAGGAAATTCGGGGAAGATGATAGAAAAGTAGAAAACAAAAGGGACGGGCTCGGGTAAACTTTTTCGGGCAGGTAAAATGTAGATGATTACAGGGAGGACGGTGACAACGTCGGCTACCAACGTCGAAATTCTGGCGCCGGGGGAAATTATACACCTATAGTCGCCAAGCACTTCAAAAAACTGACAGTGGTCAATTACCCGAATTTTTTTTTTCATTTTAATTTTCTTTTTCTTCATTGTAGGTTGATGAAAATTGTCCTTTTTGTGGGTTATTACTAATGCCCCTTTCAATCTCTGGTACCTCCGTCTCGATTTTTATTTCTTCCATTCAGAGTTTGTTCGTTCTTCGTCTTTTTTATAACATCCAGCCTTTGCTAGGCGTATAATCGAAGAAATATTGGAACTTTTAAATTTTTTTTTTAATAGCTGTTGTGTACCACATAAAATATTCCCTACTTGGGGGCTTTTATGAGAAAGTTTAGTAATCAATAAAATGGGAAACTATATTACATTGGAGGTAAATTGAGTGCTGTAGTTTGCATTAGTGATTGACTAAATAAACATCCATTAATAAGAAATATAGATTTTATTTATTATTTTGTATAATCACAGACATTAAGTCTATTTTTAATCGTTGTGAAATATTCTTGAATTTACATACAATCAAATATTTTCAGGATACGCAAGATAAAAATAGAAAGATTGCAATTTTCTGGAACAAAAAAAATTTAATTATAATTTTAATTTCTGGTTCTTAAAATGTTCCTTTCTATTTAACACATTTCGATACTTAAAATCCATTTTGATAGGGTCCCCCCCCCCTAGGGCCATTTGAAAGTCGGGCGCTTTTCATTAGATTTTATAAAACTCATTATTAGCTATTTGGAAGAAAAAGAGAGGGAAAAAAAACAGAAAAAGGTTTTTTTACTGAAACTTTTACAGATTTAAAGATTTTCGATTAAACCAAAAGACTAAGGGGAAATTATGTACTGTAAATGAAACAGTGTGCTACACTTTATTTTACAGGACCGCACATTTTTCTCTCTTTCAAAAAAATTACTTAGTCTATAATCTAATCGTTATGAATTAAATAAAATTGTTTCCCTGTAAACGCTACTCTTTTCCTTGATCTACACGAATCAAATAAAATAAAAAAATCAGAAAACAATGTCACAAACGGTGCAAAATGAAAATGATATGTCAGTAAATCAACATCAGAGCAATATATAAATCTAACGTAATGCATAAAGCAGACGATCATGCAATCCCTGAACAAACTATGACTCAATATCTAAATCAGACGATTGAAAAAATACACAAAGCGGCAGAGAATACACGCGTGGCCCAATCAGAATAAAAAATACTAAAATGGCATAGAGTTGCCAATTTGTCAGTATATTTTGAGACATTAATGCTTAATCACACACACTAAAAAAATACTGAAAACAAGGCTCAAAAAAAGCTAGATGTATTCAGTAAAAATACTGAAAAATCACGTGTCAGCAAAGAAGAACGAAACTGATAATTGTATATTTTCTACCATTAGCCTTTAATTCATTCCATTTTAAAAGAAAGTAAACGCAACTCTAAAAAACCATTTGATTTAAAAAAAAATGTAGAACTTTATTTTCCAATCAAAAATAAATTACCATCGAAAATAAATTATTCGTCAAAACAATAATAAACGTTAAAACGCAAACATAAATGGAGATAAAATAAATAAAATACTTTTTTCATTCAATGCACAACAAAATATACCATGAACAATAATAGTTTAAGGAATAAATTGAAATATTAATAATAAATTATTAAAAATGGAATTTTCGGACCTTAATTGTTTAGATAAGCGTTCAATATATGGCTGAAAGCATTGTATTTAAAAGAACAAAGTACGATATAAATATTATTTTCTTTTGCACAAATTGTTCCATTTTCGTTTTTTTGTATGCATTTCAAAAGAAGTTTTAATATTTAATGCGATTCCATAAAAACAATCAGGTATTTCATAATGATATTTTTGTAACTATTTTCGTTCTGTCTCCAAATTGCCTTCTCCTACCATCCCTGTTTCCTGTTCAAATCGAACAAAAACAACGGAGGCTTACTCGCGAACAACAATTAGTGGTGATATCTCTTTTGATGGTCGTTGGTCGCAAACAATGAAATTTTCGATGGCGACTTCCTTTTGCTGATCAGATAATCAGCATTTTGTTCGATCGATTAGTACATTTATCTCTCACATGCGTTTTGTATCCTCAGTCAATGGACCAAGATCTAAAATATTACTTAAAAGAAATTGACCCAATGGTCAATTAATCAGTTTTAAAAATGTGAAGACTTAGAAATAATATAGCATATATAGATGTCTCAGTACCAAACGATTTATTTAGTTTTTTTTTTAAAAAAAATTTTAACGATAAACAATAGCAAACGATAAACAATTTTCATTGCTACGTATTTAATATTCTCCTCAAAAAAATCTCAATGATTGAGTACTTTGTTAACATAAGACTAATTGTAGAACCTTTATATCGTTACTGATTAGTGAAATGAAAAAATTTCCTTTCAAGCAAAAGATTTATAATAGCTTTTTGATAACGAAAATGTATAAGAATTTTTTTTTTTTTATTGACAAAGTTTAAATTGGATTATAGCTTAACAAAATAATTATCAAATAATTATGTCAAATTTATTCTATTATTTTTTACACGTTTAAATTTATTTAAATAGATTTTGGATAATTGTGCTTCATGATAATGAAGAAGTTTATTAAATGATATGAATTTATTTTATAAAAGATGCCAACTCTGTCATGCAAATGAAAAAAAAATAACGTAAGTGCAAGTCTTTCGCGAAGTATTTATGTTCATTTTTCAATTCTGTGAGATTTCGTAATTTTCGCAAACTATTGCATAGTTTATCAGGATGGTAAAAATTTCTTATACTCCTACATTTTTTTATTAATTCATTAAACTTAACATTTTTCTTCTTTTAATGTGCCCATTCACTTTTTTAAGCCATTTTAAGTTAATTTGCAAAATTGACACAGAATTTTTATACGTTTTGTATTTTATACGAATAGTTTTTATGCGTATTTTGCCAAAATATATTAATAAAATTCTAACAATAAGATTTATTTTAATGAATTTATTAATCTCAATCTATTAATATATTTATTAACTTTTTATTAACGTTTTATTCCTCTCTTGAATTTTAGAAGATTGCGAACTGTCAACGCTATTGTAACAAGTACTTTCAATATGTTCATACAGCACTTTTCACAATTTTTTTTCAAAGATCTAAACAAAGTAAAAATAACAAAAAATAAATTTTAATTAATTAAAATATAATATAATATAATATAATAATATAATAAATATAAAATATATACAAAATATAAATATATATAAAATATATATATATAAATATAAAATTTAATAATTAAAATATAATTTAATGAAAAATATTAAAAATGTTTAAAACAAAAATGCAATTTCAAATAGTTTCCACAACGACTTAGTCATTATTTTTGCAAATTTTTTACAAGAAATTTGAATCAACAATCATTTTAAATATGAATTACGTATTAATTTTCAATAACGATTAGTAACGTATAATTTTTAAAAACGATTAGTAACGCATAATTTTTAAAAACGTTACTTTATCTTTAACAACTTAATCATTAACAACAAAGTTCCTGAAGCGATGTATTTTTTACACTAATTATTCTTAGTCATAATTTAATTATTTTTTTAAGTCAAACTTTACTACTTGGACAAGATTGTCAAGGTTTTTTTTTTTTAAAAACATAAAAATCTTATAAATTAAACTAAATATAAAAAAATTGGTAATCAAAACTTTGTTACCAATTTTTGATCTAGGAGTAAAAAACAACCTTATAGTAAGTTTTTTAATTTTTTTCTTTTTTGGT